TCCTTATGGGGACATTATGTCCCCATAAGGATAGGTAAACCCGCTCACACGCACACACACACACACACAGACTTGTACTCTTGTCTCCCCATCACTACACCAACATGGACGGCTGTTCAGCCCGTCGACTTCCCTGAGCCGCTCCTACTGCGCCGGGCTGATGTTAGAATTGGAGCTGTCATGTTTACTGCAGTAACCGAATCTGGATGTTGTAGAAACATGAAGTCTGTCATGGCCCCTGGAAGAATCATGTTCACTTTTGTGCCTGAACACCGCTTACTCAAAGCCAGCTTAACCCGATCGCTAAACCCTTAATCAGGATTATGAGGCATGGGCTTGTTCTTAAACTCTTAAATTTAACATATGAACAGCTCATGGAGATGTAAAGTTCTGACACTTTGTGCTCTGAAAGGGATGCTTTTAATTAAAGGTAATGCCATATCATTTTACTGACAAATACAAAAAATACCAAATTTAAGGGCTAAACTCAAAATGTTCTAGAAGGTTTTGTCTATGAGTGAACCCACAGAGGCAGAGCGGCACGCTGGAGGCAGAGCGGCACGCTGGAGGCAGAGCGGCCACGTGGACGGAGGGAAATCATCCGTATTCGGTGTTTAGCAGCACACCGGTGCTGCAGGGCTGCTTCTAAACGTGACACACAGACCATAGCCTAAAAGGCTCTTATTCGTTTACTACAAATGCTATAACAGCCAAGCGCTAGCTGCGAGAAGGATCTATGACAGCAGAAATGCGGAGTTCTGGGCTGACCTTATCAACCAGGACCTGCAAACGCGTGCAAACTTCGCTACCTCCCGAAAATGACAAACCGGCACATCCCAGCGTCCTCCGGGAGAAACCGCGATTAGGGGCCGTCCGTTATTTTCCTCTCCCGGGGTTCTGATTCCAGCCTGCTGCCTTGGCGGGTGACAGCCGGCTCCCTGCGGCCAGCCCATCGTCGCGGGTCTCATCTGCTACAGACGCACCGCTCAGGATCCTCATCCAACTCCGCCAAGCTGCCAGCTTCGCCAACACTTTGGGGCGGCTGACCTTTTCTGCGGCAAAGCGGCAGCCCCTCCCGTACATGATTCACTTTCACACTCCTACATGCTGAAATGTTTATTCTTTAAATAATTTCAAGCATCCTTAGCTGTACTCTCGCTGACTGAATTTAGATCAGTTGACGGTAGTACTGAACAGACTTCTGTATCCTCGTATTATATTTGTACTGGATTGATTTCAGATCGCTGTTTGATAGAGGAGCTGTGATTCTGTTATTTGCCAGGTAAATTCTCCAGCCTATTGCAATGAATTGGGGGTGGGAAAATCACTGGGGGAGGGGAGGTGGTTGGAATTGAAAGATGATGGCTGGCACCTGTCCAAATTAATTTGATGGTTTCTGTTGATCAACGAGGCCTGTAATTCAGAGCCAGTGAGATGTAAGACACCGGGGATGCTTTCCCACAATGCCTTGGGGCAGCAAGGTCGCTCCCTGGAGGACAACCCGATTGTCCTTGGGTGACACGTATGGCTGGGATACTGCTGACCGAGAACAGGGAGAGCGAGTAGCCACAAATCCCCACGGCGACGGCTGCAGGAGCCTGAGCACGCAGTGTTCTTGGGGGGGGGCAAGAGCAATGAAGCAGACAGACCTATAGGTGGCGCTAGAGTTTGCCACCTCCAGTCACCTCTATACGACAGTTATTAGCAGAGTAGCAGAGGTGCACACTGGGTAAACATACTCCACTCTGCTAAACATCTGTTTTGAATATCTAACTTGGCATATCTGTACAGTAATTAACAATATATGACACAGATAGCTGAATTAAAATGGTCTCTAATGCAATTTAAAAGGTTATTATAACAAAGGGAATAGAGATATTCCCAGCTTATTCCTGCCATTAGAGAATGAATGCAGACGGGGCAGGGTAACGGAAACAGGAGCTCAAAGAAACAGCTCTCGTGTTCCCCGTGATCCCGACAACGTGACAGGACCGGAGTCAGGAGGTAACGAGAACGCAGGGCGCAGGCGGCGACGTTTAGACGAGTAACTGCAAAGAGCAGCACCGCTGCGTCGCTGGGGGCGACAGGATGGGCGGGGGAGGGGATCAGCGCTCCGTCAGCTGCCAGCGAATCCGCCCCCTTCCCGCCTGCGTCGCTTCCTCATTAGCCTGTCTCAGGGTACGCAGACGCAGCCTGCCAATGCCTCCGATGCCCCCCGGAGAGCCTAGAGGGGTCGTTTCGGGATACATCCTTCGGAGAGTGCCACCGGAAGCCCAGGCCTTCCCGCCGTGTCTCTGCGGTGACTCCCCACTCGGATATATGTCAGTGATTGCGGACCACAGGTGACACGCCCACATACGCAATAGGCTCTAATCTCACACCGTCATGGCAGAAACCACTGCAGAGACCAATGGGAATGGTTTAACACAAAGTCAATAATTTGGTCCGTTTCTTAGCTAGAATCACATAAGAAAAGCAGCATAACAGCGAGTAACGATTGAATGTTCTGGAAGCTGCTGTGGCATGGAGCTGCCGCTGAATTCGGCAAATCACAGATTAATAATAAATGCCAGCCATATTGTAGCTCTCTGGGATGCGCGGCTCTCATTCCAGCTCGTACAGCTCAACCAGGTTCCACACAGAAGACCGAGGAGCGTTTTATTAAAATGCCCGGCGCCCGCCCCCGATCCACACAGCCCCGCCATTTATACTCATGTACCACATTTCCACTGCATAGAATAATGACACATTAAGGTAAGCGTTCCAGGTGAGGACGCTGAGCACTTATGAGGCACATTACGTATTTCACCGTCATTAAAAAAGCTTGAGATGGCTGGTAAATGGGATGCATTTACGGTAGGGGAATTCACACGGCGCCGGGAGACGCGAACTGCAACTGCGGCTCCTTCACACGATGCCCAAGTGTGGCTCCAGCGGAACGGCAACGGGAAAGGCAGGTATAAATAGCCATCCTCATTACATCACCCAGCAGGCTCTGTCCTTGTCTCTCAGGACCTTCTCTTGTATAAATCCCTGGGTTCCCATTTGCTGATGTGATCCAACACGTAAATCCCTTTAATTGGACCAAGATAGCCCTTTATATATTTGGTCTGCCGTACTGCTGACAGCAATACTGTCGGAAGCCTCGGGGTCTGATGAACTAGGTTCCTCGGTGCCAGAACGTCTCAAACAAACCCAAATGCTCGTATTTATTCTGCATTTTGCTCATCGTTCATTGCCCCCTGCTGGCTTGTCCTCCATCGCCGAATGATTCGGCGACACGCTCAACAAGAGTTATTAAGCTACATGCAGAACAGGATTCAGGTGATGATGGTCTGTTTGCTTAGGAAGTGGGTGGGAGATGGGGGGTTTCATTTTAATGTAATCAACTACTCTTGGTGGGGGGGGGGCAGGGATTTAAACGATGGCGACATTCGTTAAGAGTACAAGACCGAGGTCATTACACAAATACAATTATCGGTCATCCCTGACGCTAACCATGAATAATTTTATGTCCGTCTGCTGTCACATGGGAACCCGTTGGTACCGGACTCTTCCTAGTGTGCCGGACTCCCATCTCTGCTACGTGGCTCATGCAGAGAATGAATACGGGCAGATTGACCAGGCGCATGAGCACACGCAAGGCAGGAAAATAAGGGGGAAGAGGAACTACTTGTTGTTGGAATCGGAACATGGGAAAGGCAGCTGACTGTGTCCAAACGGACCACACAGGAGACGGGCTGAATATGG